CATCCTGCATCTCACTTGATATCTTGCATCTCATTAGGTATATGTATAAATGTATACTACAACCTTTCTGCAATCAAGTGTATATATATAATAATAAAAATAATAATATCTATGGAATCAAAATMAAACAGTCTATAGACTGGGCAGAGGTTCCCAGTGGAGCTCAAATCGTAGAAAGAATCGAACAACAAAACAAGATCTACTGTTCCCTCTCCAATCCGAGCCCCACCAACAACCTCCTCTCCTTTTTATATTTCATTCAGCATGAAAATAAAATTTGGCATATATCTATAGAAATATTATGCTCGGATCTCAAAATGGGTGATAATGATTAGATATGCAAATAAAAGTTTATGCATTATTTGCATATGTAATCAAATCTTACGAATTAAACATTTAAGACCCAAAAATGTTTTCAATTTTTCTATTTGCTATGCTCTTAAAGACAATAAAATTTCAACACATTTTATCAAATTCTATGCAAAATTTATGAAAATAGAAAATTCTTTGCTTGTCGAGTGACCATGCAAGCCTCTGTTCACATTTTTTTWAAATATATGCATACATGGAATCAAACTCGAGGAAGCTGTTTTTCCAACTTCAAACGGCCATTGATGAGCAGTTGTGCAAAAGGTAACGAAACTTCGCAAATACAAAGATGAATATCTAATTTGTAAAACCTCTTTTTTCGAGGCCACAGATCAAATCTCTAAGTCCTCAAGGTTTTGAAACACGCTTGTGTGTCAGCTCTTTCCGAGTCGCTTTTGGAAAGGTACTTCGTAAAAGAAAATTTTAAAAAGGCTAAAGATAATTTTAGTTAAAGACATCAAACTAAGTTAAGAAAAATTTTCCAAAGACTTCTTCATCAATATGACGCTGGTTTACAAAAAAAAGACATCAAGAAGATTTACTTGACGGTAGACTCTTTCCTCTTAAATCGCTGAACCGTGACGTGACGTCATACTGTTATTCTGGTATCCCCAATAAAGATATCATTTACCATCCAGTTACAGTCATGTGATTATGTAAGAGTTAATTACCGAGAACAGAGGCAATAAGCCAAATACATCCTGAGGGCCGCAGTCCCGAGGGATGTATAGGTTTATTGCCGACTTCGAGGTAATTAAGTATTTTAGTTATCAATTGAGAAGGTTTTCTATCAAATGTTGCTCATTATAAATGCGAACGGTCTATATATATAGTTATTATCCGGGTTAATAACTATATATTGACCTTGCATTTATAATGAGGGTTATAAAAAAATAAAGCCTTGTGAATAACAAAGAAAACCGTGTCAATTGAGAAATAATACCTGCAAATGGCCTATTCACGTGTTCTAGTGCAGGTTCGAAGAATCTATGTATTGTATAAATTGACAACTAATGTGTCCTTGAAGTCTCATATGAGATATTCAGTGGTTAGAGCATGGCACCTGAATCGCCAGGGCACTTCAAATCCCGTTCAAGACTCAAATTTTTTTCTGAGTCTTTCAATTTGCAGCTGCATTAGTTGTTTCATATACTGTGAGGATCAGCTCAATTTGATGAATCTATGTAGCGTTAAAGTCAGTGCATTGAGATTTGTATTGAGGTTTGTATTCGTGAATGACGTGAAATGAGGAAATGAGGAAATGAGTCTGAAATCAACAAGTATAACGGTATCTTACGAATTCAGAACATCTTTATTAGTATTGATTCTGGCCTTGTCTGTTGCTTACATGGTTATTTCAGTATTTCAATCATAAAAATTATTTGGAATCCCAGTCATTGACCAGCCACATATTATTGTTTTTTGTTGTATTTTTTCTTGCCACATTTCTAAGCATTTCGAGCATCTCATTAATACTACTCTTTTTCAATTGAAATGGATACGAGTACTTGTGATAGAAGCCCCCACCCCCACCCGTCGATTATTAGCCCGGCAAATAATAACCCTTTCGAARTTACGATTCATAACCGATATTCTACGGTAGAGCGATATTAATTCTAAACGATAGGTGAAAGGCATCTTAAATTACATTCTATCCTACAGCATTTTAACCCAAACCCAGGGTGCAAATGATTGCAATGCACGTCTTTATTACATTCATCATCTACTTCTGGTGGACATTCATCAGGAAAAGGGAAGATTGGACAGGTACCATTGACTGTAGGTTTTACAGGTGGAACGCATCTGAAATCACATCCATCCTTACAGCATATTCTTTTTGATGCATAGCGGTTAGGATTGCAATCCGAGTCGTCTATGCATTCATCATGTGGTTTTGGTGGACATTCAGCAGGTGTAGGCATGATTGGACAAGTATCAAAGACTTTGTTTAGAATTGTTTTGTCGAATATACCAGCTGGTGGCTCCTTTCCTTGAATTGGAATCATGCACTTATGACTAATACAGTTATTAACGCAACACTTAATAAATGACTTCAACGCAGGATACTTTTTTTCGCAGTCTTCATCGTTGAAGCATATGTCTTGAAAGTATTTACCAT